ATGTCCTGAAGTCTGTGTCACAATTTCTTCCTGTGACATCTGAGTATAAGAGTGTTGACAAAAATGCTTTTATATTGTTTGTCCTTGGTGCTAATAACAGTGATAACAGTGAGGAAAATAAGCCTTGATTGATTGTACTGTATTTTGTTGCATACTTTAGTAATGGCTGTTTTGGCTGTTTGGTTGAAATGTTGGTTATAAAAATCACTAAATAAACATTTTAAGCCATTTAACAGCAAATACATAAATACGTGTACATTATAAAATAAAAAAATAAAAACATATATAGTCTATTGAGAACATTACAGTAAACATTCATCATTTGTGTTTTTTCTCTCTAAACTTTAAATTAAAGGCAGTACTATAATATATAAATACTTTTCATTTAATATAATAATAATAATAATAATAATATCAATAATAACAATTATCATTATTATCGACTTATACAGTAAAAATATATAATGTAATACAGTAATTAAAGTTAAATATTATACATAAATAAAAATATTATACCTATTACAGTAAATACAGTATTATAGCAAATACATATATAAATGTATATTTTATTTAAAATATTTAATTATATATATTACAAATGATTTAATTTAATTTATTTAATTTTAAATTAAAAGGCAGTAGACAAATTCTACCATAATATATAAATACAGTTTTGAATTTTATTATTATTGTATTTGCAGTGCAGTAATGATTATTAAATATTATAATTAATGAATGTTCTTAATGGAAAATGGACATGTACATGCAGCACAAAAATATAATATATATTTTATGAAAATAACACACACACACACACACACATATACATATATATATATATATATATAGCCCTAGTCCCACTGTATGCACATTCATCCAATGGAAAAACTTTGTAAAGATAACCATAATCATATTTCATGTTTGTGCTGAATAACTGATAATCACTAAGGTTATTGACACGGAATCCTCAATATTTACATCATTTCCAGATAAATGTCTGTTTCAGCAAAACCAAACATTCAATTTCACAGTTCAGGCACTTCCTGTTTGCCTTTAATTACCTTGAGCAGACCTTTGGCCGTGCGTCTGCCACCGTTACTCAGACCTGACATGTTAATGCCTTCACTTTAAAATGTCAGTGTGCTTTAGAGGCGCTCGTGGATGAGGGAGAGAAAGCAGGGGTGCAGCACTGACCCTCTGAGCTCAGGAAACATGTCCACAGTGGGCCGGGTTAAGGGCTGTCATGGTTTGTTTGGAGTCCGAGGGGTCAGAGGAGGACAGGTCCGTCATTTTTCCTCTGGAGGAGGAAATGCCTGTCACGTCACCTGGGTCTTTCTCATGGCCCTCTCAGCGGGGTCAAGCGTCTCTCTGTGCGAAACGCAGGGGCCGGAGAGTGCAAGACAGATCACTGCAGACCCCTGGAGCCTAGTATGCGTGTTTGCTTATTCATGTCTGTGTTTTGTCAGTGATTGTGCGAGTATGTTTGAGAAAGTGAAATTGCAGGATGATTTTATTGTAAATGTTGGCTTGAGGTCAACGTTATCAAGAGCAACACATTTAAACGTCCAGATTTGGCCATGCTTTCCGACCTACTTAACTGCTCAGAGGTCAGTGTAAGCGATCCTCACTCTGCGCTGCTTTCTTCTGGCAATGAGCGTGAGAAATGTGTTTATTTGCTTCCACATGGACCACACACATTGTTTACGAACCCACGGGAAGGAAATCACAAATGTGATGAGTTTATAAGCTTAATCATAATGACCTCAGTGTGATTTCAAAAAAATTCTCATCAAAAACACATTATATGAGAGTTATTTTATTCACTTTGTATTTTATATAATATATATTTCTATTATTATTTTAGCATATATTACTATTTATAAAATATTACTATTATTTTAGCATATATTTATTCATGAGACTTAATAATAATTTTTATTTTGATAATATATTATGTATATAAATTTATATTATTATTATATGATTAAAATATAAGACAAGAATCATTATTAAAATATATTATTATTAAAACTACCACTAGTACATCATTTATAATCTTATTTAATAATATAATTTATAATATGACAATATAAAAATTATATACAGTAATATTAATAGTATAATTATTAATATTAATGTTTTAAATTACATTTCAATTTAATTATTTATTTTTATACCTTAATGTCTATACATTATTATATTATTTAAATATATATTATTTTAAATATGCACAAACAATTTTAGGAATTTTATGAGGAAAAATATGAGACAAAGTTGATGCACAAAGTGCACACAATCACACACCGATACACGGAAACAACTGGTAATTGTTCCATCCATCCATAATTCAATCCATCCCTCGTTCCTCCTGCTCTCTGATCTGATACTGGAGATGTGAGGTGTCAATCAATAAGATGACAGGCATGGTGGGCTAAAAAGGTTCATTAGGCTCTCTAAACACGGGAGACCATTTGTCTAGTTGTCGAGGACGAAAAATGTGTGGAAAACTGCTGTGTTTGTGTAGGTGTAAGTGTGTGTGTTTGCTTGCGTATGTGTTATCATCTCATTTGGCCGAGTCTCTTCTTTTCCTCTTTAGTGATTTTCAACTCACTCTCTCACACACACATGCTCTCTTTCTCCCCCCATGGGAATAATACAGCTCTATATATTTAGGGCTTTTACATGATTATACTGAAATTTACTGTTACACATGCAGTATGAATGTACAGAACGTTACCTTTCAGCTAAATACACACATTGCACAGAACCTAAAAGAGTCATAGGTTACAGTTACAAAAGTGGTACTTAGTGAACAAATTAAATCTGGCAAAAACATATCCACATGACATTTCTCACCAA